CATGCTAACCACAGATAGTTTACTGATAGCCATTTTGATCACTTTATTAATTAAATAAGTTGTTGTTAAGAATGTTTTTACTTTATTTTTTTAATTTTACAGAATCAATGTTGGTGGTAAAATTTTAACCAATCATCTAAAAGAAATCATCTCATATCGTCAGTTACATGTAATGGATGAGACGTACGTCATCAATCAGGTCAAAGAGGATGTCTGTTTTGTATCTAATCAGTTCTATAAAGACATGAATATAACACAGTGAGTGATGCATTATGGGTTATATACACACTACAAACAAAAAACTACTATTTTTATTTCTAGTCTGTTTTTAAAGACCAGAAACTGACATATTATCCCAAAACCTTGGCAAAAAATGCAGCCTCGTGGTCCTAAATATATTATTTATTGCAATCCCAGAGGTGTAATCATTTTGTTTGTTCATTATTGTAGATTAAAAGGTAAAGACAATACAATTGTCAAGGACTATGTTCTTCCAGATTTCTCACAGATTAAAAGAGGATATGTGAAAGAGGAATCCTCTGGGAAAGCCAAACAAAATGAACAGGTGGGTTGGTAACTATGGAAACATTGTTTTCCTTGGTGATATCAGTTTGATTCACAATTACATCCATGTATGTGGTTAGCATTTTGTTACAATCACTGTGTTAGCTATGTGCCATTTATAGGAATTTGGCTGAATGCATATATTAGCATAGTACTTTTTTTTAATCATGTTCAAACACACTTTGGTTCACATGTAATTCTTAACTACTGGCAATATTTCCACAATATGCACAAGTATGTCACATGACATTCTAACACAACAATAAACAAACAAAAAACCTTCTCAGAATGTGATTTTAAGTTATTTAAAATTGCATTTGCACTTTGCAAATATGTGAAATGAATCCAGAACAAGCTACAAACATAAACTGTTGGTGTTAATATGAAATATTAAAAGTAGATATATATTTTGCCCTGTCCCATGTGCAGGCGAAGACTCCCCCTCTTTAAGTAAAAAATTACTGAAAATAATCATTTATACAATCAAGAAAAACTCATTTTTTCATGCCAAGTATCAGCAAACAGCATTTTAGTTTCTGCTTTAAAATTCTGTCTTGTCAAACATGCATAACCGAAACAAACTTTTGTGATTATGGTCACCATATTTGAAAGTTTAAAATAGATATACCAAACAACTGTACAATCAAAGTTGCCATTTTGAAAACATATGAACCCTGCTTGCCTTCCTCAGAACTTGAGAAATTATTTTGTTGATTGTTGACGCAAGTTTTATTCTAAAATTGTATACACTCTTGTTCACACTCAATGACATTAGAAAATTGTGCAATTTCATGATCTTAATTTTGTTGGTATGTTTATTATTATGGTACACGAATAAATTAGTATCTCATTTCATACCATGGTAACATCTGACATCTAATTTACATATTATTGAACATTCTGGATTTAGTTTCAGAAAAAAGCTTCAATGTAAGACACATTATTGTATTTGAGGTTCATCTGAAAATGTAAAAATAAACTTCAAAAAATGTTTTTTATTTGGTTTAGTTTGGTTTGGGGCTTCATTATTTGTGTAACCATTGCCCTTAAATTCATATATCAGGAAATGGTACTTTACAGATTTGCAAAGTCTGCAACTTTAAAAAGAGTGCAACTTTGAAAACTGTTAACTGCCTAATTGTGAGCTTAGTTCTAAAAAAAGAACAGGATTGTTGTGCTCCCTCTTCGTCATTTTATCATTGACTTGACACTCTCTATGAATGTATGTGATGATGACTTTAATTTATTTGTAGATAGTTCGTATGAACAATGAAAGATTCTCTGTACCAGAAATTCTTTTCCATCCATCTGATATTGGTATTCAAGAAATGGGAATACCGGAAGCTGTAATTCTTGCAATAAATGCTACACCTAAAGGTACTTAATCTAGTAAAATAGTCAAAATTTGATTCTATAGTTATTGCTTTCAACTTTTTGTCTGCATGATCCACATGAAGTCATTATGTTTGTATTAATTAGTGTGCAATGCTTTGTCTCACTGAAATGTTTAAATTTTTTTAACTGGCAAATATAATAACACATTTGTATATTAATAAAATAATGTAAATCTGGTCAACATTGCATAAACACACATTGAACATTACAGTGTTCAGTTAATTTGTCTGCCTGAAGTGATTGGTGTTATTTTGCATGTACATAACTCACAGAACTGAACAATAAATGCCAAATTATTTATAGAAATCTATAAGAGATGTAGAAATTGATTATTGTGACTTGCAGTTGTCTCAACATTTAACTGATATACATTGTATTTACAAAAAGAGAACGGGAGCAACAAACAAAAGTCACAAAAAGTACAATCATGTCAAATTATTGAAATAGAATTTTTAGAATAAGCCTTTTAAATAAAAGTTTTCAAAATTTTGTTTTCTATAGTTTAGAATATGTTATAGTAGAATGTTATCAGTAGAATGTTATCAGTAGAATGTTATCAGTAGAATGTTATCAGTAGAATGTTATCAGTAGGCATAGAATGTATGAAACAACTGATACAACTTTGTATTTTTAAAAAATCTTGATAATTCAAGGAAGGAGCTGAAAAGATAAATTTCTAATATTTTTTTTTAATTTCAGAAATGCATCCACATCTTTACAGAAACATTGTGCTGACTGGTGGCAATTCTCTATTTCCTGGCTATCGACAAAGAGTTTTTGATGAAGTGAGGTCACTAGCTCCTCAGGAATATGAAGTCAATGTTGTCTTACCTCAAAAGTAAGTGATATTTGCAAAGTAATAGCTTCCTTTAAAAACATGTCCTTATAGATTGACTTGTGTTTCTGTGTACTTGGTGCATGCATGAATGTATCTAGAACCAATCACATTCAAACTTCCACACATACATCATACTTCTTAGGATATGAATATACATTGATTTGTTTGACATCCCAATGACAGCCATTTATTTGTCTCCATTTTTTTTTTAAAAATTCTCTTCTGGAGCCATACCTCTGATTTGTCCTGACTTATCATGTTCATATATCATGTCATGTCACACTTATGCACATTTATCAGTTTGAAGATTTGATTCAAGATGGTTGAATGGTGGTTTTTTTAATGTTAAAAATTCATCAAAATCAAGCAATTCTGGATCCAGATCTTGGTTGCACATGGACAGATTTTGTTCAAGCTTGGTATAAAAAATTATGTCGTCTTGATGCATGTTTTTTTGTTTTTCATAACAGTTTTACATGAGTGTAGCTCATATCTTTAACATGCTCTGATTATTTATGTTAAAACTTTATATTTCTTGAAACTCACAGGGACTAGCTGTTATATGTGTTTTCATTCTTTCAATTATTATATTGACCTAATGTTTTGCATGTGCCTAGTACTTTAGTTTAGACATATGCACATGCATTGGTTTACTGATTTAATCAAGATGGCTAACTGGCAGCTATTTTGTGTTTTGTAAAATTGGTATCGGATCAAAGATGGCCAACTGGTAGGCATTTTGTTTTTTGAAAATGTGGTATCTTATGCATGCTTTTGTTCAAATTTAGTACATACATTGTACATTTTAGATTACATGCGCAAGTACAATTTGTTTTACGAACAGATCATAGATAGCTGACTGGTGGCCTCGTCGTGGCTTTTTGACCATACTACATCTCCATGTCTTAGGGTCCATTATCAATCATATTTGGCACATACATCATATATATTGGAATACATGTCTTTTTTTTTCTTAATCAGATCAACTTGGCGGCCATCTTGCTTTTGACCATACTACTACCGGTATATCTCCACGGCTTATGGGACCATTTTCAATCATAATTTGACACATACATCATACATATTGGAATAATCAGATCAAAGATGGCCAACTGGCATCCATCTTGTTTTTTGAAAATGTGGTATTTGATTTCCAATTTGATACAAACATTATGATTTGTTTTGTGTTTCTTATCTCTGTATGTGAGTTTAGATAAAAACATACATGAACAGTACAATTTAATTTCTGACCATATATTATGATTTTGGAAGAGTCATTTAATACATCTAATTTCTGTTGATACTAAACCAGTCAATTATTCACTCTTTATTTTTGTCATGAACAACATTTCCCCTAATCCCAACAGGTCTATGCCATTGACAATGACTTGTGAAGGTTGCTTTTATAGATAATAAATTCATTGCGCTTACATTTTGTATTTGAAAGTTGTAAGCAAAATGTTTCGTTTTTACATAAGGGTTGTCATAGAAACATCTGTCTGTTCTAACATTGATATCAAATTCAGATATAAAACACCTTTGCCTGGTGGTACTTGCTCTGAACAAAAAATGCCAATGAATATTATGTGATTTTCATCTTTTACTAAAAATGACACATACTTGTTTCTCAAACAGTGCCATAACATATCCCTGGGAAGGCGGTGGTGTGATCTCCAAATATGAAGAATTTCAAGACAAATATTGTGTGACCAAAAAACAATATGAAGAAAGTGGACAGAACATCTGTCTGGAGACTTTTGATGTGTGAATTATTTGTTATCATATACATAGGCCCTAGAAAAAGAAGGATAGGAAACATGGGCATTTTATTTGATGCAATCTTGGTTGAATTACTCATGATGATTCACTGATTCGCTTCTTGTTTACTGAAAATACTTTCCAGGTGAACAAATATGGTAAAATCTGTCTTGTATGAATTGCAACTTTTGTATATAGCTAATTGTTGTTCAGCAAGACAGATCAATACAATATGAAATACGACAGTTTAAATTTTTTCATGTGTGATTATTCAATTATTCACACATTATTGACTCCTAAATATCACCATGTCACAAGATTATATTTTATAAACTATTATGACTATAAAACTGGTAATGAAGTTGTGAGAAAGTTAATTGACAATTTTGGTTGTTGTTCCCAAACTACTGTAGAATACTTTACTTCCACTTGGAATTTATTTTCCCTGAAGTGATAATCGAGAAAATTAAAATCCAGTCAATATACCTTTTTCCTATATTTTACATTCAACTCATCACAAATCAGTGAAGATTCTCCAAACAAAACACCCAGTGAAAAATAATTCCAGCTAAAATTATGAATTTTACATTATTTCAAAAACAGTGCACAACTATGACAGCTCTGCACATGCATGGTAACTCTTTTGTTAGCCTTAGATAATCCAATTATAAATTTGGTCAGTATAACCAAGCTCTTACAATAACCATTCTGATTTCCTTATTTGTTGTTTTGCACAGTTTCTTATCCTTTTTTTCTTGAGTTTACATATATATGTCATAATGTATGGCATTATATTTGGGAATATATTGTTGATATTTGTAACAAGATTGGTAATAAACTTCACATCACTGCCAATATCTACACCAGTTTTATTTTCATGTAATAAATCTTTTTATACCATAATACGTTGGCTTTCTTATTTTCTGTAACAAGAAGTTCATAAATAAGCATTGTTTAATGTTTGTACTACAAATATGATTTATATTGATGTAAATATCAGAGAAGTCATTATGTGTGATTAATGCAGTGTCTCACCGAGGGTTTAATATAAAAGTCTGTAAGATCCTTTTTAAAGTCATTCTATTGGGGTCTATAAGAAGAAGACAGTGAACATTCCACTGTGAATATTCCACTAGTCAATAATAATGAGACAGTAAACATTCCACTAAGAATATTTATAAAAAAAATGGATAACCGAAAATGCAGTCAAAAAACACAGGACTAAATGCCTCTGTCACCTTTGTACATATAACACCAAATAATATCAATTTGCATAACAAGGTTACAGCAGCAGGCTGTCACTCTGAATAAGTTCTGTATCTGCACACCATCTGGATATGTAAAATTATGTTATAGAACTCAATAAGCTTTGTTACTGAGTGGTATACAAACATTATATATAGTACGTTGCTATGTGACAACTATGCAGCTTTTGTTTTTATAATAATTACGATTAATCACCTGCGAAAATTTGATAATAATCGGACTCAGAACTATCGAACTAACCCTTTTATTGGAAGATGCTAAATATTCAATATCTAATTAATAAATTGTTCCTACAATTCAAACTTAGGCCAGACTTTTGTTATTCCTTGTTTCTCGAGTTTTTATAAGGCAATTTTTTTGAGGAGGGCGAAAAATAAATAAAATTAATTCTTTTTTTCCATTAGATTTGTGTGATTCTCAAAGAATTGTAATTGAGATCATTGATCGAAGAGAAGAAATGAAATAAAATTGTATTCCATGTATAACCTTGTTTCTCATCTGCGCGAGACTTCGGTACTTTGATCATAATACTCCCACAAAAATGCAACTTAGATTTGTTATGCGGCGGGCGGTAAAAAAATGAAGATACAAATAAAAAAAATTTAAAATATTTTTGCACTTACAAGTCGGCAGGCACGAGAAATTGCGCTGAAATAAAATTTTATTTTTATTTCATTTTCAGATCCTGTTCATTCGGCGGGTTCACAAAACAGGGGGATATTAAAAAGTCTGGCCTTAATGCGCACAAGATTTTATAATGGGAATTGCTATGAATACTGATTTAATGAATAAATACCACGCCATGACCTCAAGAACACTTTTAAGAAACACAATGGTATATAGACTAAGATGTACACAGCCTGGGGCTGATATCAAGATTTATAGTTCCTAAGTGCCACCTTGGGATGATATTCTTGATATTGGCCTAGGGCAAACTGTTTCCTAATTTGTCCCAAATATCTCAAAAGCGAACAACAAGATAGTAAGCATGGTAAAATTGTCAACCAAATCGCAAAGCTAAACAGTCAGGTCAAGATTAAGGTCACACAGGCAGAGACAGCTAGCATCACGGATAAATATGGCACTTAAAGTTTCCCATCCCTGAAAACCATGTACAATACAATAACTGAATGTGTAAATAAAGATGAATGCTCATATGTCTATTACTAAGTACATGTATGTTAACATCACAGTAGTGATTACATACAATGTGTACAATGCTCTACTTATATGTTCGTTATTTCTTTAATCTTTGGGCAACAGCAGCAACTATAGCAGCACCTCTACCACTACCATCTGATGACTCCACATACTGCACAGTCATAAATGGAGCAAGTAGCTTGGTGGTTTCCGCCATTATTGTCTTTATATTTGGATGATACTTATAAAGTGATCCATCCACACCACATATGACTTCTTTTCTTCCCACCTGACAGACAATGGCAGCAATACCTGCTGATAACAGCTTGGCAGCACGAGACGAGACAGCAGAACAGACTGTCTTGACCTTTTCACAGTCTTCATCTTTTATCTCTAGACCAAACTTCTTGAATATAGATTTGCATGCTTCATTATTTACACTGGTGTCTCTGTGTATATAGTAAATACATTTGAATAATTACATTTGTCTCCAAACATTCTATCATTAGTTCCATTCTGAATATTCACAGCAATTTACAAACACAAGTGATGGATGAATGGATGGATGGATGGATGGATGGATGGATGGATGGATACCGAGAAACATGTGATATTATGTGCTGCACAAGTTGTACAAGTCTTATGTTATTTCTTTTACTTTCAAATACTAAATCAATGTTCCAGCAAGAACACGAAATATACTGACTATATTATTGTTGTATAAATATTCTAGAACTACATCTACAACATCCCAATGATGTAATAATGGTCCGATATAGTATAAGGCTTATATGTTTCATCAATGAGCTGACAGACGATTAGTACGTATGTCGACAGCTTGATGTAAAGGCATTTCAAAATGCTCATACTAGTTTATGAGCTGATAACAACAAACTCGGTGAACTTACTCTTCAATGTATGAAATATATTTAGTTTTGAAAATCCATTTAGTTTCTAAATCGTCTGTAATATTACCATTGAAGATAACACCAGCCTTGGTTAGTTTCACAAGAATTAAACGAACAATTTCACCCAGGTACATCCCAGAAGTCATCTTTTCAAAACTGTTGATAAAAAAGAAAATGCTTTTGTTAGTTTGAAGTAAGCACATTTCACAAAGTTGAACAAATGAGCAAAACTCATTTCTTATAAATTCGTTTTACACTGTGGCATGTGATGAAATGTTAGGTTGTAAGTTCTGCCACACGGAGAATACATTCTAATCTTGATTCTACTTATGCGACTTTGGTCAAGTATTCTTACTCGATTTCACTATAGTGAGTTGACCTACTTGTCCATATATACGCCATAGGCTTAAAGAAGGTTCGAGAAATTGGTAATTTATAAATAATCCTGCTTATAATACAGGTTACTTTATAAACCATTAGGTTCAATTTGGAGAAACAGATCAAGGTACGAAGTGAATGCTAAGTTCTTTAGAAGAGTTGTCAATGTATCTGTGCGTGTTGTTGAAGTGGTGTACATCTAGGAATACATACTCGATTGGCTGAGGAAAACTGTTTGATATCTTTATATTTTAAATAGTGAGAGTTAGCAATTGAACCCCTCAACGAATGAACAAATGATTTTAATAATGAATGAATAAACGAATGAAAAAAATATTAATTCAATGCAACAATGTGTTATTATATGCAAACACTTTCATCTTCCATGTGCGGGCGATCATTTTCAAAGAAGGCGTTAATGTTTCCCATAAATAATGTATGCGTGGTTCTCGGATGTACACGTCATCATATATGCAAGTATACGATGTACACGCCATCATATATGCAAATATCTGATGTACACGTCATCATATATGCAAGTATACGATGTACACGTCATCATATATACAAGTAACTGATGTACACGTCATCATATATGCAAGTATCCAATGTGCACGTCATCATATATGCAAATAACCGATGTACACGTTATCATATATGCAAGTATCCGATGTACACGTCATCATATATGCAAATATCTGATGTACACGTCATCATATAAGCAAGTATACGATGTACACGTCATTATATATAAGTATACGATGTACACGTCATCATATATGCAAGTATCCCGATGTACACGTCACCATATATGCAAGTATCCGATGTACATGTCATCATATATGCAAGTATACGATGTACACGTCATCATATATGCAAGTATCCGATGTACACGTCATCATATATGCACGTATACGATGTACACGTCATCATACATGCAAGTATCCGATGTACACGTCATCATATATGCAAGTACACGATGTACACGTCATCATATATGCAAGTATACGATGTACACGTCATCATATATACAAGTATCCGATGTACACGTCATCACATATGCAAGTATACGATGTACACGTCATCATATATACAAGTATCCGATGTACACGTCATCATATATGCAAGTATCCGATGTACACGTCATCATATATGCAAATATCTGTTGTACACGTCATCATATATGGAAGTATACGATGTACACGTCATCATATATGCAAATATATTATGTGCACGTCATCATATATGCAAATATCCGATGTACACGTCATCATATATGCAAGTATACGATGTACACGTCATCATATATGCAAATATCTGATGTACACGTCATCATATATGCAAATATCCGATACACACGTTAAACTTACATATGTTTTCCATCATTCACTGTGCTTCTATTGATTTCGTCATCATACTCAGTTATCAAGTGTTCCAATACTCCTCCATTACCATCTGCATCTCTATCACCAAATGCACCCCATTCAGTGTTGATTATGATCTGCTGAGGTGGCAGAGTGTCACCATCCCAAATATCAACATTCTCAAGTTTCTCAATATAGCACGCGTTAGTACCAGTCCCTATAATTATACACATATATTGATAATTTAATTAATTTTGTTGATTTTTATTAAATTATTTCTTACATATTTCGGGTATATACAGTAAGACTGATGGGTGTTATATTGGCATGTGTGTGTGACCGACTTGTTTATTCGTACGAATTTCCACAAAGCGACTACAAATTTATCTGAATTGTGCATACACACACTGAATTAGTTTTCTAACTTACCAAGAATAAGACCTGCCACACAATCGTGGTGTTCAAAAGCACATGACATCAGCGTACCGGTTGTATCGTTAATCACAGCTAGCACGTTAACAGATATATCCTGTAAGTATACAATAAAAGCATTAACACGTCGAATAACAAATGATTTCATATTTTCTTCTAATGCCGGAAATGTTCAAATAAATTATGTTTACTATTACCCCTCTGCGTTTTATCGCTTCTTGTAAAAGTACATAAACATCTTCGCCTTCGACTCCTGATACCTCAAAATCTTTGGACCAAGCAGTCAGAGTAGCTACGGAGAAATACCATCACTAGTAGATTTAATGCACTAATTTTGTCAAATTTCATATTTACTCGCATTTTACAGAGCGTTCGAATTTAAGTTTTTTTTTATAACCCCACAATACATTTTCAACAACAATGTGAAGCCAGTACTGTCTAAATATATATATATA